GCGCGCAGTGCGCCCTTGATACAAGGTTTCCACATCTCTTAGGGCCGACTGATCCATGTCCAAGTGCTGTTCACATGGAACCCTTCTCCACTTCGGTCTTCAAAGTTCTCATTTGAATATTTGCTACTACCACCAAGATCTTCACCGGGACCCGCTTCACCTAGGCTCACGCTCCAAGCTTCGCAGCAGGCCCCGCGCCCTCCGACTCGTCGCGGCGTCAGAATCGCCTCGATGGCCGAGCATAGGTCGCGCGCTTCAGCGCCATCCATTTTCGGGGCTGATTGATTCAGCAAGTGAGTTGTTACACACTCCTTAGCGGATTTCAACTTCCATGACCACCGTCCTGCTGTCTGTATCAATCAACACCCTTTGTGGTGTCTGGGTTAGCTCGCAGTTTGGCACCGTAGCTCGACTTTCGGTTCATCCCGCATCGCCAGTTCTGCTTACCAAAAATGGCCCACTTGGAGCTTTCATTGATCCTCGGGGTTCGCTTAAGCAACCCCGAAATCTTACCTATTTAAAGTTTGAGAATAGGTCGAGGGTGTTTCACCCCCGAGGCCTCTAATCATTCGCTTTACCCGATAAAACTGTTCAACAGCTCCAGCTATCCTTAGGGAAACTTAGGAGGGAACCAGCTACTAGACGGTTCGATTAGTCTTTCGCCCCTATACCCAAGTCCGRCGAACGATTTGCACGTCAGTATTGCTGCGAGCCTCCACCAGTTTCCTCTGGCCTCGCCCTGCTCAGGCATAGTTCACCATYTTTCGGGTCCCAACGGGCATGCTCACACTCAAACCTCTCACAGCAGATCGTGATTGGCAGACGGTGCACCCGCAGACGGTTCCCGCCGCTCAGGTTTCTTGTGCCTCGTGGGCTAATCACCCACCGGCTCGCATGCACGTTGAACTCCTCGGTCCGTGTTTCATGACAGGCAGGATAGAGGAATTTCGCCAGCATCCCGAACAGGCAGGAACCCGAACGGGCCCGCTGAAAGAGGCGTGTGCTCAAGGTCCTCAACTGTCGTGAAGGCCATCCGTGGGGGGTTTCAATCGCTCCCCACCGCAATGCCGGTCACAGCAGCCCATGCTGGCAGGCACCCCACGTCCAACAAGGGGGGCGACAACACAGTCGCGCGTCCACCCCTGCCTAGACTTGAGCGCACGATTTCCCCTCCATCTGCTTCTCGCTCGACAATTTCAAGCACTCTTTGACTCTCTTTTCAAAGTTCTTTTCATCCTTCCCTCGCGATCGTTCCTCGCTATCGGTCCCTCGCACATATTTTGCCTTGGATGGGACTTACCTCCCAATTGGGGCTGCATTCCCAAGCAACCCGACTCTTGGATAACACCTCGTTGCGCAGCAGGGTCCGGTGGTCGACGGGGCTGTCACCCTCTTCGGTGTCCCCTTCCAGGGAACCTGCACACGGCCCGCTGCAGAGGTTGCCTCTCAAGACTACAATTCAGGGAGCAACAGAGCCCCCGGATTTTCAGTCTGGGCTATTCCCGGTTCGCTCGCCGCTACCAAGGGAATCCTCATTGGTTTCTCTTCCTCAGCTTAGTTATATGCTTAAATTGGGCGGGTGCTCCCCGAAATAAAGTGGACCCCCTTTAAGTGAGAATCCGACCCCCTTTATAATTTTTGAACCCCTATAGCGGTGGGTCCTAACGGCCAGGGCATTCTTGGCACCCCAAAATTAATTTAACCCCCCTTAAGTGAGAATCCGACCCCCTTTGTAATTTTTGGACCCCGATAGCGTTGGGTGCTAACCGCCAGGGTATTCATGGCACCCCGAAACTAATTTGACCCCCCTTAAGTTGAAATCCGACCCCCTTTATAATTTTTGGACCCCTTTAGCGGTGGGTCCTAACCCCCAGGCTATTCTTCGCACCCAGAAATTTATTTGACCCCCCTTAAGTGAGAATCCGACCCTCTTTATAATTTTTGGACCCCTATAACTGTGTGTACTAACCGTCAGGGCATTCTTGGCACCCCGAAAATAATTTGACCCCCCTTACGTGAGAATCTACCCCCTTTAAATTTTTTGGACCCCTATAGCGGTGGGTCCTAACCGACAGGTTATTCTTGGCATCCCTAAATTAATTTCACCCCGTTTAAGTGAAAATCCGACCCCCTTCACAATTTTTGGACCCCTATAGCGGTGGGTCCTAACCGACAGGGTATTCTTGGCACCCCGAAATTAATTTGACCCCCCTTAAGTGAGAATCCGACCCCCTTTTTAATTTTTGGACGCCTATAGGGGTGGGTCCTATCCGCCAGGTCATCCTTGGCACCCCAAAATCAATTTGACCTCCCTTAAGTGACAATCCGACCCCCTTTATTATTTTTGGACCCCTCTAGAAGTGGGTGCTAACCGCCGGGGTATTCTTGCCACCCCGAAATTAATTTGACCCCCCTTAAGTTGAAATCCGACCCCCTTTATAATTTTTGGATCCCTTTAGCAGTGGATCCTAACCCCCAGGCTATTCTTGGCAACATGAAATTAATTTGACCCCCCTTAAGTTGAAATCCGACCCCCTTCACAATTTTTGGACCCCTATAGCGGTGGGTCCTAACCGCCAGGGTATTCTTGGCACCCCGAAATTAATTTGAACCCCCTTAAGTTGAAATCCGGCCCCCTTTATAATTTTTGGAGCCCTTTAGCACTAGGTCCTAAACCCCAGGCTATTCTTCGCACCCCGAAATGAATTTGACCTCCCTTAAGTTGGAATCCAGCCCCCTTTATAATTTTTGGAGCCCTAAAGCGGTGAGTCCTAACCCCCGGGCTATTCTTCGCACCCCGAAATTAATTTGACCCCCCTTAAGTTGGAATACGACTCCCTTTATAATTTTTGGACCCCTAAAGCGGTGGGTCCAAGCCCCCAGGCCTTTCTTCGCACCACGAAATTAATTTGACCGCCCTTAAGTGAGAATCCGACCCCCTTTATAATTTTTGGACCCCTATAGCGGTGGGTCTGAAGCCCACTGTCATTCTTCGCACCCCGAAATTACTTTCAAGCCCCTTAAGTAAGAATCCTTTAGCCGTGGGTCCTCATCGTTAGGGCATTCTTGGCACCCCGAAATAAATTTGACCCCCCTTAACTGAGAATCCGACCCCTTTTATAATTTTTGGACCCCGAAAGCAGTGGGTCCTAACATCCAACGCATTCTTGCCACCACGAGATTAATTTGAGCCCCTTTAAGTGACAATCGGACCCCCTTTATAGTTTTTGAACCCCTAGAGCGGTGGGTCCTAACGGCCAGGGCATTCTTGGCACCCCGAAATTAATTTGACCACCCTCAACTGAGAATCCGACCCGTTTATAATTTTTGGACCCCTATAGCGATGCGTCAGAAATGACAGGGTATTTTGGGCACCCCGAAATGAATTTGACCCCCCTTAAGTGAAAATCCGACCCCCTTTTTAATTTTTGGAACCCTATAGCGATGGGTCATAACCGCCAGGTCGTTCTTGGCACCCCAAAATTAATTTGACCCCCGTTAAGTGACAATCCGACCCCCTTTGTAATTTTTGGACCCCTCTAGCGGTGGGTGCTAACACCCAGGGTATTTTTGGCACCCCGAAATTAACTTGACCCCCTTTAAGTTGAAATCCGACCCCCTTTATAATTTTTGCACCCCTATAGCCGTGGGTCCTGACCCCCAGGCTATTCTTCGCACCCCGAAATCAATTTGACCCCACTTAGCTGAGAATCCGACCCCCTTTATAAGTTTTGGACCCCTTTAGCGGTGGGTCCAAACCGCCGGGGTATTTTTGCACCCCGAAATTAATTTGACCCCCTTTAAGAGACAATATCAATCCCCTTTATAATTTTTGGACCCCTTTAGCGGTGGGTCCAACCCCCCAGGCTATTCTTCGCACCCCGAAATTAATTTGACCTCCCTTAAGTTGGCATCCGACCGCCTTTATAATTTTTTGACCCCTACAGCGGTGGGTCGTAACCCCAGGCTTTTTTCGCACCCTGAAATTAATTTGACCCCCCTTAAGTTAGAATCCGACCCCCTTTATAATTTTTGGACCCCAAGAGCGGTAGGTCCTAACAGACAGGGTATTCTTGGCACCCCGAAATTAATTTGACTCCCCTTAAGTGAGAATCCGACCCCCTCTATAATTTTTGAACCCCTAGAGCGTTGGGTCCTAACCGCCAGGGCATTCTTGGCACCCCAAAATCAATTTGACACCCCTTAGGTGAGAATCCGACCCCTTTTGTAATTTTTGGACCCCTATAGCGATGGGTCCTAATTACCAGGGCATTCTTGGCATTCGTAAATCAATTTGACCCCCCTTAAGTGAGAATCCGACCACCTTTATAATTTTTGGACCCCTATAGCGGTGGGTGCTAGCCGCCAGGGTATTCTTGCCACCCCGAAATTAATTTGACCCCCCTTAAGTTTAAATCGGACCCCGTTTAAAATTTATGGACCCCTTTAGCGGTGGGTCTTAACCCCAGGCTATTTTTCGCACCCCGAAATTAATTTGACTCCCCTTTAGTGAGAATCCGACCCACTTCATAATTTTTGGGCCCCTAAAGCGGTGCGTCCTAACCCCCGGGCTTTTCTACGCACCCAGAACTTAATTTGACCCCCGGGCTTTTCTACGCACCCTGTATAATTTTCAAACCCCTAGGGTGGTGGGTCCTAACGGCCAGAGCATTCTTGGCAACCCGAAATTAATTTGACCGCCGTAAGTAAGAATCCGACCCCATTTATAATCTTTGGACCCCTAGAGCGGTGGGTCCTAACCGCCAAGGCATTCTTGGCATCCCAAAATAAATTTAAAGCCCCCTTAAGTAAGAATTCGACCCCCCTTTATAATTTTTGGACCCCTATAGCGGTGGGTCCTAACAGCCAGGGCATTCTTGGCACCCCGAAATTAATTTGACACCCCTTAAATGACAATCTCACCCCCTTTATAATTTTTGGACCCCTATAGCGGTGGGTCCTAACCGACAGGGTATTCTTGGCACCCCGAAATTAATTTGACCTCCCTGAAGTGAGAATCCGACCCCCTTTGTAATTTTTGGACCCCTAAAGCGGTGGGTCCCAACCGCCAGGTCATTCTTGGCATCCTGAAACTCAAGTGAGAATCCAACCCCCTTTACAATTTTTGGATCCCTCTAGTGGTGCGTCGTAACCGCCAGGGCATTCTTGGCACCCAGATATTAATTTGACCCCCTTTAAGTGAGAATCCGACCCTCTTTGTAATTTTTGGACCCCTATAATGATGTATTCTAACCACCAGGGCATTCTTGGCACCCCGAAATTAATTTGACCCCCCTTAAGTAAGAATCCGACCCCCTTTAAAGTTTTTGGACCCCTATAGCGGCCGGTCGTAGCCGACAGGGTATTTTTGGCATCCCGAAATCAATTTCACCCCCTTTTAATGAGAATCCGACCCCCTTTACAATTTTTGGACCCCTATAGCGGTGCTTCCAAACCGAAAGGGAATTCTTGGCACCAAGAAATTAATTTGACCCCCCTTAAGTGAGAATCCAACCCCCTTTTTAATTTTTGAACCCCTATAGGGGTGGGTCCTAACCGCCAGGTCATCCTTGGCACCCCGAAATCAATTTCACCTCTCTTAGGTGACTATCGGACACCCTTTATAATTTTTGGATCCGTCTAGAGGTGGGTGCTAACTGCCAGGGTATTCTTGGCACCCCGAAAATAATTTGACCCCCCTTAAGTTGAAATCCGACCCCCTTTATAATTTTTGGATCCCTTTAGCAGTGGGTCCTAACCCCCAGGCTATTCTTCGCAACCCGAAATCAATTTGACCCCCCTTAGGTAAGAATCCAACCCCCTTTATAATTTTTGAACCCCTTTAGCAGTAGGTCCTAACCGCCAGGGTATTCTTGGCACCCCGAAAGTAATTTGACCCCCTTAAGTTGAAATCTGGCCCCCTTTATAATTTTTGGACCCCTTTAGCACTGGGTCCTAACCCCCAAGGCTATTCTTCGCACCCCGAAATTAATTTGACCTCCTTTAAGTTGGAATCCAACCCCCTTTATAATTTTTGGAGCCCTAAAGCGGTAGGTCCTAACCTCCAGGTGTTTCTTCGCACCCTAAAATTGATTTGACCGCCCTTAAGTGAGAATCCGACCCCCTTTATAATTTTTGGACCCCTATAAAGTGGTATGAACCTCACCGTCATTCTTCGCTTCTCGAAATTACTTTCACCCCACTTAAGAGAAACTCTGACCCTTTTTATAATTTTTGGACCCCTTTAGCCGTGGGTTCTAATTGTTAAGGCATTCTTGGCACCCCAAAATTAATTTGACCCCCCTTTAGTGAGAATCCGACCCCTTTTATAATTTTTGGACCCCTAAAGCGGTGGGTCCTAACCGCCAGGGCATTCTTGCCACCCCAAAATTAATTTGACCCCCCTTAAGTKARAATYCGACYCCCTTTATAATTTTTGGACCCCTAGAGCG